AGCATTCTTTAAAATATTTACTGTTGCTGTGCCTTTAAAAAGTGGATGTAAATGCCCTTTTTACACGTGACATCAGAAACTTTTTCTTCCATAATCTGCATGTTTGCTGTCATGTCTAATATTGTTTGTGCCGCCTCAGGCTGCCTTCAATAACAGCCTCTTTGTAATAGTCTTCATTAGCTTGTGACATATTCACAAAACAATCAGCGCTGGAATGTGCCGTGCAAAATCTCATGATGATGATCATGAATGGTTAAAAATAAACTTTAGCTGCTCTTTTCTAACACTCAAATACTTTAGAAGGAAATTCAGTGTGACAGGAGCCACAATCAGCATGAAACTGATTGAGCTACGGTGGATCTCTAGTGTTTTTTGTAGATTCATAACAAATGATTTTGCTGCTTGATCAAACTACTTATTTAAAATGAGGTGAAACAACAATAACTAAGATTTTTTTTAACAACTTTATTGCTTTAAGTTCAATCTACTTAAAATTGGTCAAGTTTATTTGATTTGAATTAAGCGTAGACATGTATTTTTTACAGTGTATAAATAAATAATTTTGTTGATTGAATTTTAGATAAGGCCGTCACGGTGACGCAGGGGGTAGCACGATCACCTCACAGAAAGAAGGTCACTGGTTTGAGTCGAGGCTGGGCCAGTTGGCATTTCTGTGTGGAGTTTACATGTTCTCCCCGTGTTCACATGGATTTCCTTAGGGTGCCTATAGTTTCCCCCACATTACAAAGACATGCGATATCGGTGAATTGAATAAGCTATATTGGCCATAGTGTACGTGTGTGGATGAATGTGTATGGATGTTTCCCAGTGATGGGTTGCAGCTGGAAGGGCATGTGCTGTGTAAAACATATGCTGGATAAGTTGGCGAGTTCATTCTGCTGTGGCGACCCCAGATTAATAAAGGGACAAAGCCGAAAAGAAAATAAATGAATTAATTAATTTAATGATTATTTTTTATTTATTTTAAAATTATTATTATGTTTTTTATTTAACATTTATTTTAATTAATTTAATTTAATGATTTCTTGCTCATTAAAAATTAATTTGCTTGTAAAAAATATTTTCAAAAGTTTGAGGTCAGTTTTTTTCATGTTTTCTTTTTAATTATTCTGTTTATCAAGGTGGATTTTATTAAATGTAAAAAAAAAAAAGTTAAATTTTAGCCAAAAAGAAAATTAATGAATAAATTAATTTTGGAAAACAATGTTCTGAATGTTCTGAAAAATGTCCTGGATATCAGTTAGCATATTAAGAAATTTCTGAAGGACCGTAGTGACACTGATGGAGTAATATTTGCTATATTATTAAAAATGTCCTTGTTAAAAAGTACCCACTAAGCCACTGTGCCACCTATACACACACATTCATTCATTCATTCATTTTCTTTTCGGCTTAGTCCCTTTTTAGTCCCAGTCCCTAATCTGGGGCTGCAACAGGAGAATGAACTAACAACTTATCCAGCATATATTTTACATTGTGGTTGCGCTTCCAGCAGCAACCTAGAACTGGAAAACATCCATACACACTCATTCACACACATACACTATGGCCAATTTAATTGATCCAATTCTCCTGTACCACAGGTCTTTGGACTGTGGGGGAAACCAGAGCACCCGGAGGAAACCCAGGCTAACATGGGGAGAACATACTCCACACCAAAAATGCCGACTGACTCAGCAGGGATATGAACCAGGGGCCATCTTGCTGTGAGGACACCGTGATAACCACTGAGCCACCGTCCTGCCTATACACACATATATAATAAAATAAATCTCTTTTTCTTTGCCCACTAAAAAATATTGTGTCCTAAAGTGTCATAGTAAATTTGCCCCCTCAGTGTGTTCCATTACACATTTGTCACTGTCACTTACCAAATTAGACTAAATAGGGAACAACCAACTAGCTGAATGAGAAGCTAATGAGCAGTGCTACTGCTCGGAGAAGAAAGATGCTCTCAGAAAACCACTCTGCAACAAGCCTCTAGAGAAACACAGCTCAGAGGAGAGCCGGCAGAGGGACGGAAGAGTCTGTCTCAGTAACTACAAACACACACACACACACACACACACACACACACACACACACACACCACACACACACACCACACACACACACCACACACACACACCACACACACCACACACACACACCACACACACACACACACACACCACACACACACACACCACACACACACCACACACACACCACACACACACCACACACACACACACACACACACACACACACACACACACACACACACACACACACCACACACAAAGGATTCACTGCAAACACCAGATCAGGAAACACTGACAGGTGAGATCAGATCATCGTACCGAGATTGGGAAAGGCTGAGAGACACACACTTCTACATGGTTGTAAATGAATCCTTGTAAATATACTGATTATTGTTATTATTATTATTATTATTATTATTATTATTATTATTATTACTGTTTTTTTCCTAAAATGTTGATTGTTAAATGTACTACTACTATTTACTGTGTTTACCAAGTTGATATATGTTGTTTTTAATGTAAACTTTATAAATGCTTTGGCAATACATTTGTAACATACATTGTCATACAGTACATACAACATTGGGCTTCATGTTTTCCACATTTTTTAATGTAACAGCCTTATTCCAAAATAGATTAAAATATTTTATTGCAAATTCAATAGAAATAAAAAGGCTAAAAAATCTCATGTACATCAGTATTCACAGCCTTTGCTTAATACTTTGTTGATGGAAGCAATTACAGCCTCAAGTCTTTTTTTGAATATGATGGCACAAGCTTGGCACAACTGTCCTTGGGAATTTTTGCCCATTCCTCTATTAGGTTGGGTGGGAAGCGACGGTGTACAGCCATTTTTAGATCTTTCCAGAGATGTTCAATAGGATTTAGGTCTGGGCTCTGGCTGGGCCACTCAGAGACATTCACTGAGTTGTTGTGAAGCCAGCCCATTGATATTTTGGCGGTGTGCATTGCGTCATTGTCCTGCTGGAAGATGAACCTTCGCCCCAGTCTGAGGTCAAGAGCACTTAGAAGCAGAATTTAATTCAGGATGTCTCTGTACATTGCTGCATTCATCTTTCCCTCTATCCTGACTAGTCTTCCAGTTCCTGCTGCTGAAAAACATCCACATAGCATGATGCTGCCACCACCATGCTTCACTGTAGGTAGGTTATTAGCCTGGTGATGAGCAGTGCCTTGTTTTCTTCAAAAGTAACAGCTGGCATTCACTCCAAAGAGTTCAATTTAAGTCTCATCAGACCAGATAATTTTGTTTCTTGTGGTCTGGGAGTCCTTCAGATACTTTTTGGGAAATTCCAGGTGGGGAGTGGCTTCTGTTTGGCCGCTCTACCATACAGGCCTGATTGGTGGATTGCTGCACAGATGGTTGTTCTTCTGTAAGATTCTCTCTCCCCACAGAAGAACACTGGAGCTCAGACAGAGTGACCATCGGGTTATTGATCACCTCCCTGACTATGGCCCTTCTACCCTGATCACTCAGATTAGATGGCCGGCCAGCTCTAGGAAGAGTCCTGGTAGTTCCAAACTTCTTCCACTTACGGCTGATGGAGGCCACTGTGCTCATTGGAACTTTCAGAGCAGCAGAAATTTTTCTGTAACCTTTCCCAGCCTTGTGCCTCGAGACAAACCTGTCTCGGAGGACTACAGACAATTCCTTTGTCTTCATGCTTGGTTTGTGCTTTGACATGCACTGTCAACCCTGGGACCTTATATAGACAGGTGTATGCTTTTTCAAATCATTTCTATTCCGCTGAAATTACCACAATTAAGCTGCTCAAACATCTCAAGAATGATCAGTGGAAACAGAACGTACCTTAGCTCAATTTAGAGCTTCACGGCAAAGGCTGTGGATACTGATGTACATTTGCTTTTTCAGGTTTTTTTATGTATTTTGTGTAGAATTGTGAGGAAATAAATGAATTTAATTCATTTTGGAATAAGGCTGTAACTTAAAAAATGTTGAAAAAGTGAAGCACTATGAATACTTTCCGGATGCACTGTGTGTCCCTTTAAAGAAAAGCAAAAATAAAGCAGAAATGTGCGATGTTCCTTTAATGTTTGGTTGAATATAAATAAATAAGTATTGTGAAGATAAACAATGCAAAATTGTACAGAAAATAATTTCAAGTGAAAACTTTCACAACAACAACAACAACAACGACAACAACAACAACAACAACAACAACAACAACAACAACAACAACAACAACAACAACAACAACAACAATAATAATAATAATAATAATAATAATAATAATAATATTCTTCCAGCTGTAACTCAACACTGGGAAACATCCATACAGTCTTGCATTCACACTCATACACTACGGAAAAATTTGTTTATTCAGTTCACCTATAGCACATGTCTTTAGACTGTGGGGGAAACTGTAGCACCGGGGGGAAACCCACACCAACATGGTGAGAACATGCAAACTCCACACAGAAATGACAACTGGTCCAGCCAGGGCTCGCACCAGCGACCTTCTAGCTGTGAGGGAATCTTGCTACCCACTGCACCACCGTAAAGTGAAGATACATTTTTGAAAATGCTGCACAAAAAAATAAGAAATAAAACAAAATATAATAAAATCTCAAAAAAAAAAATGTGCAGCACATACTGCTCAGATCAGACCTGGATTAAGAGAGAAAACTTATTTTCAGAAATGTTTATGAATTTTTTTATTTTGTATTTGTTTACTTCACAGAGAGAGCCGAATGACTCCACAAAATGTATTAAATAATGGAAATGTTAACACTATGGAGCAGTTTTGTTAAATTATAAATCAAACTTAACTATGTGCTTTTTTGTTTTAGAAAAAGAGCAAAAAAAAATCTGTGAGTATTATGTTTAAGAAAATCGAAAAACTGATTTATATCAGCATAAAATTCCTGAGGTCTATGGGAAGTCAGATAAATGTGTGTGTGTTTGTGTCTTACATGGAATGGTGCGCAGGTACAGGTTGTCTCGGATCACTTGCTGCAGTTTGTGGTCGATTGATCCTTTTTGAAACTGCAGGCTGAGATAATGCCTCAAATCAGAGTTCAGCACTTTACCTGCAAACAGAGGAAGACAGAAAGACATTTAGAAAATGTTATGAAAACAGATGCTTGGCTTTGTGCTAACATGTAGACTCTCCTCTCCCAGAGGGGATACATTTTGCTCTCTTAAAAGTTAAAGGAATAGTTCGACCAAAAATATAGTTTCCTCACCTACAAGCCACCCTCGATGTTTATGGCTATCTTCTGTCAAACGAACACAGTTGGATTAGTTTTAAACTTGATTCTGACTCTTCCTTTTTATTTAATGATTTTGAGGTAGTGGCTCTTTTTTTAAGCTTCCAAAAGTGCATGAAAATCTGTAGCAAACGTAACCCATAGTCCGTCAGGGGGGTTATGTATGTCTCTGTGTTTTGTCATCAAAAATACTTTGTTTAAGATAAACATAAATCACTGAATTCCAGTGGCTTCCGAATACATTTTCTCAATGTCCTCTTGGCTGAGCTCTGATTCCATGTTTGACGCATGAAATAATATGCATTTGTAGTGGAAGACGGATTTATTTTTATATTGCTTTAATTAATTTATACTATTTTTTAATTAATTATTTATTTTTTATTTATTTGTTTTATTTATTTATTTATTTGTATCTTTATTTTATTATTTATTTGTTTATATTTATCGATTTGTTTATTTATTTATTTTTTTGTTTAATTTATTTATTTAATTTATTTATTTATGTTATTTTAGAAGCTTCATAAAAAATGGCCACTACACAACACCATTATACACCAAGTTTTAAGTTTAGTTAATTTATATAGCTTGTTTAAAACAGCCACAAGAATGAAAGTACTTTGCAACATAATAAAACAAAAAATACAAAAATAGAAAAATAGAAACACAAAGACATGAAAGAGCCAGAACAACACGTAAAACTAAAAGCAGAAAGACATATACACTGAGGGTAGCTTGAGGGTAAGTAAATTATGAGGTAATTTATTTTTATTTATTTATTTTTTTTTTTTGGTGAACTATATTTGTCAACATTTGAAGTAGATCAAGTTTTTCAAAATTGTCTTGAGAAATGAATGGGTGTTGTTCAATATTTTAGGACAACTTTAGTGAAATGTTTTGATTCACTGCTACATTCCTGTGAAGAGACTGAATACAGGGTTCATATTTGTGCTTCATGTTAGACAAATGTTGAGGAAAATGTCAGATGATTCTGTCTAGAAAATAGACAATTGCTGACTAGGGTTGAAAAAAACCCTCAAATTTAAGGAACAAAACTGCCCAACAGTTTGAAACTGAAAAAATGGGCCTTCAGAATTAAAGTAGTGTATTACAGCTGTTGAGATTCCCCTTGAGCATTAAAGTCCCATACGTGGAGATTGTGATTTCTGTGCCCCAGAGAGAAGCTTCCCACAGATGGCATTGAGAATGTCCAGAATGTAGAATAGAACTGCCTGAATTTAAGAACAAATCTCAAATCGGCCACTTTGCTTAAATGAAGCTTCATGCTTCACCATAGAAACTAAACTAATGCAAAGTTCTAAAGCTGCTCAAAATGAGCTTATTTCAGGCAGACAGCTGATATTCTTAACTTACCAGTGAAAAGCTGAAATGTGAAAGTGCAACAAAATAATATGCAAAATCCATCATATTTATGTATGATTAATCAGCGTTAAAAAAGCCAAAGTTTTGAGAGCACGCTCTAATTAACTGTTGTAAATGATCAGAAATTTCACAGCTTCAGTCGTTATAACTGGAGTTTTTGCACACATGAACTAATGTCAAAAACTGGCAAGATTTCTCTTTGCATCCAGACATATTGTGCCATTCATTCAAAAACAAATCATCTTATAATATATTGTGTATTTTGTTAATAAATATTACAATAGAAAGAGCAATAATGAGTCCTTGTCTTAATATTGCATCAAAACGCTGTATTGAACTCTCTTTTAGTAATGCATATTTAGCAGTTTGTTGTTATTGCTACCAGTTTATAGTAATTTGTTTGGTTAAAATAACTAGTTAAAATGTGAGTTTGACAGAAAGATGACGTAGATACAATTAATAATGCTATCCTAAAACTGTCACTTATAAGTGAAGCTTTATAAACTAGTTTGATATGATGAAAATCATATGAACATAATATGACTGATCGCGGCTGGACTCTTATCTGTAATCAGCAATAATCCAACCAGTTTGATCCAAGCCTACAATAAATAGACTGATTTTACCCTAATGCCTTATCTTCGTTTTTAAAGAATCCCCCCATTCCATCCTTATTTACTCCTTTTTTTCTTTTTACCAGGGGGAGGTCTTGAGAAATACCTGATCTTGGACCCTCTTACATGCTAATAGACCAGGCAAGAGCTCTGGGCTAAATCATCCTCGAGCTCAGAGTTCTCTCCCAGGACAGCATGCCAAACCTGCTAATAGCGTCAAGCAATATCTAATAGGGTTGGGTTGATAGACATTGTGATTCTGAGCCTGCATCCCGATCCTCCGGCTCGCCCACATCGTAGCAGCAACCCACTTGCGAAAAATACACACTACCGCCCCATTTACACTGATAGGTGTTAGTTTTAAAATGGCATTTTAGAACGAAAACAGTCCACGTCCACACTAGCGGTTCATCTAGTATTTCTAAAAAATTCTCCGTCCACACTATACCACAGAAAATGCACCTCACGAGACTACACACACACACATACACTGTTATGCGCTGCAGCGTCCAGTTCCAGTTCCAGTTCCAGTAGTCAACCCTGAGAGCAGTGGACGTTGTCTCTATTTAACAACTCTTCTGTCTTTAGAATCTATCAGGTAACATGTCACAGCGTCAGTACACTGCTTCAATCATTTGCTTTCACGCTTGTACATAGTAATTTTAGTGAAAACTTCAGAAACTGTTTGTTTGCGCACCTTTTTTTTTTTACCAAGAACATTTGTGAACGCCATTATAACGACACAGATCACTCTGCCTATTCATGCCAGAGTCCAGCGGAAAAAGTGATTGACAGGCGGTGATTTGTGTGTAACCTATCTTTATTTATTTATGATTTGGTTATGGGTGAAACAAAGATCATGTGGGTCAGGTAGTTGAAACTAATAATTTATTCACCGCCGACAATGAGATGACAATGCCATTGTCCTGCGCTATGTTTCACATTAGACATTGTACAATGCCAAATTGGTCGACATTTCCCAACCCTAATATCTAAGTGTGAACTCTTGAAATGTTACAAAAAAATGAAATACAAATAAATACCAATGGGCATATTGACACTAAATGGAGATGTCTTTGATCCTGTTGTTCAGGTATTATATATTATAGTGCTATATAATAAAATGTAAAAGTATAGCTCTGATTATTTGATGTTTTTTAACCTTTACATGGGCAATTTTGAAAGTTTTTGAAGAATAATATGACACATTGTTGAGATCTCTATTGAAACCCGAAGAGATAGAGGACAAAAAAAATAAGAAGAACAAGAAAAGACTCAAGCAAGACAGTACATCAAATTAAAAGTGAAGCAAAAGTTACATTCACTCTCTACACCGCCTTGGAAAACAACTGAGCTGTCATGCATGATTTTCCTACAGGGTGCTTTCACTAGTACCAAAAGTACTTTCTATTAGCGCTCAATTGTTTTTCATTTTCTAGGACCAGAGCGACTTCTCACTCCACACAAACACATGCACAGTCAATGTGAGAGAGCCAGCCGCACAAAACACATGCTGTAAGTCTCTTATAAGCTTTGCCAACTCAGAGAAGACTTCACAAACAAGCTGACACAGTGTCGAAAGCAACTGTGAAAAGTGAAACCTAATGAAAACCCCACACACAGAGAAGTTTTAAAAGCCTTGCTTTCCCTCGTTCTGCCAAACTCCAAAAGACTCGACTCTGGGAGAGTTCAGAGAGAGAGAGCTAAAGAAAGTTGAAGATGGAGATTGTTTGCTGATACTGATGTTTGCTGAGGGGGGATAAGAAAATGAAGGGAAACACAGACAGAAAGAAAAAAGATTGTACAACTTGAGGGAGGAGAAAAAAAGCCATTAAAGAGGTCATATGAGAAATGCTTTGCAAAAAAAAAAAGTCAAAATATATCTTTCAAGACTCAATACTAAATCATTGAATTTATTATGCAAGAAAAGCTAATCTTCGACACATCCTTCTGAATGATTCAAAAAAGAGAGTGTTATATTATTTAAAACACTGTCACTGATACATTTCACTTAATTTGGACAATTTTATGCAGATGACTTCATTTGTGGAAATTGGAATGCAATCTTTGCAAAGAAGCCATATGTGACAAATCTGTCTAATCGTCACCGCTGAAAGAGCAGAACTGGGGCGCACACACACACACTTATACACAGGCACAAGTACAAACTAGAGATGCAACGATTATACATTTTGGTTGTACAGTTATAGTCTGACGAATAATCACAGTTTCATGGTACACTCTCAGAAATAAAGTTACGTAAGCTGTCACTCGGGTGGTACCTTTTCAAAACGTACAGATTTGTCCCTAAAAGATCCATATTAATATCTCAAGGGTACATATTGGTACCTAAGAAGTACAAAAGTGTTCCTCTTAAAATTTTCAGGTACTAATATAAACGTTTGACGTACCAATAAGGACCCTTTAAGTACAAATGTGTACCTTTTGAAAAGGTACCACCCCAGTGACAGCTTAAGTACCTTTATTTCTGAGAGTGTAGGTATGGGGCGATAACCGTTTTCAAGGTATACCAAGGTTTTAAAACCGCCAAAATCTTCTGTTATAACTGTTTTTAACTATATGTCCGATTTTTTTTTTTTTTTTTAGGTTTTTTTATTTATTTTTTATTTTATGGACAACAGTATCTCCAGCAGAAAAAATATCCAAAGATGCCATTTTAAATTGTAGAGAAATCTGTGTTTTTGAAACTGATGAAGACAGCAGAAGTCAATGATTCATTTGAATAATTCAGCCTGCCATGTTTACTGTAACAAAGTATTTAAAATGTGCCATTTTGTCATCATCACATGACATATCCACGCTAGT